ATTCCCATCAGGTTGTGTTTAGAAGACAGCGAGAGGGCGGCGGGCGAGGTTGGGGGCTGGTTTGGGGGGGGGGGGGGGGGGGGGGGGGCTGCTGTGTTTTATTTTGCTCTGTAATAGGCTTATTACTCCTGATCACGCTGGGACTATTTGAATGAAGGAGATTTCAGGAGATGAAAGCGTAAGGGAGGTTTTAAGCATCTCAGCGTCTGGTCCCGCAAGGACGGGTGCCCTTGGAGCCGGGGGATCCCTGCACCCGGGACCCCGGTGCCGGCAGCACCCAGGCCCCCTCCTTGCCTCTCCGCAAGCCCCTTCCAGCCCCTCGCTCCTGGGGTTACAAACCTCCTAATTTCCAGCCTCAATTTATTCATGGCCGGTTTATACCCATTTGTTTATGTGCCAACGCTGTTCTTCAGCTTAAATAGCTCTTTTCCTTCCATAATATATCTCCCCCCCCCCCCCCCCCCCCCGCCAAGTATTTCAGCGGGTGCAATCATATCTCTTTTCAAGCTGTTCAGGAAAGAAAAATCTGAATTATTTAACCCTTGGGACACTGGCTGGGCTTGCAGGATGCAGCGAGGCCAGAGACAAACGGGCTTTGTTCCCTTGCTGGGTCGGCTGCCCTTATCTGGGAGATTTGGGGGATGCTCCTGCTACCCAGAGGGGAAGCCGAGGCACTGCCTGCCCAGCCCGGGGGGACCAGGACCAGGGCTGGGCTCTCACAACCCTGCTTGTTGGGCCAGGCAGGGTTTGTCCCCCTGGTTGCCTCTGCCCCATGGAGGCCGGGGGGCTCGGGCTGAGGATGCCTCTGGTTTGCAGGGCAGGGTCTCAGGGGGCTTTTTGCCCTCCACAGGGAATACCCAAGAGGTGAAAGCTTCGGAAGGCCCTGGCATGGAGCTGTCCCCCTGCGTGGCACGGTGTGGGGGCACACGGGCACGGTGCCGCTGCGGCGCAGGCAGGAGGGCGGGCAGCAGAGCCGCTTCGCCAGCTCCGATGTTTTATTCCAGGCAATTTCACTCCAATGGGTTCCCACTCTTGTCATGCAAAGGGGCCGGCGCGTGATGGCACCGGGGATGTTGTCCATTAAACGTGGCCCCGAGATGGAGCCAACAGCGCGGGGCTCGGCGCGTGGTGGGTGCTGGTGCCAGGACCAGGGTGGCAGAGGGTGGGAGAGTGATGCAGGATAGAGCCCCCTGCGCTGGGATGCTGGCATCGGTGGGAGCCGTGGCCGTGCCAAGCGGGGTGTCCCAGGGGGGTTTCACTGCTGGAGACCCTGCAGTGGGGGTCAGCAGTGGGGCTGTGAGCCTGCCCATGTCCCCTGCCCTGCTGGCAGAGCAGGCCTGGCTGTCAGGCAGCGCTAACAGTAATGAATGCCCCTAATGAAGCACCCAATTAGCCAGGATCCCGGTCTTAATGGTAGCTGACAGAGCTGAAAGCTGCGAGTAGGCAATTGTCAAGTGTAACATCCCGCCGGGTGAGGCCGGGAGGCTGCTCCATCCGTCTCTGTCAGGGAAAAACAAAGCTCCCATGTTAACCCCTTTGGCAGTGGGTGAACTCTGTGTCCATCGGCAGAGCTCTGGTGGCCGTGGTGGGCTCTGGCATCAGCCCCAGAAGTGGCATCGTTCCTGGTGATGGCATCATCCCTATCCCATGGCATCAGCCCCAGCATCATTCCTGGTGATGGCATCATCCCTATCCCATGGCATCAGCCCCAGCATCATTCCTGGTGATGGCATCATCCTTATCCCATGGCATCAGCCCCGGCATCATTCCTGGTGATGGCATCATCCTTATCCCATGGCATCAGCCCCAGCATCATTCCTGGTGATGGCATCATCCCTATCCCACGGCATCAGCCCCAGCATCATTCCTGGTGGTGGCATCATCCCTATCCCATGGCATCAGCCCCAGCATCATTCCTGATGATGGCATCATCCTTATCCCATGGCATCAGCCCCAGCATCATTCCTGGTGATGGCATCATCCTTATCCCATGGCATCAGCCCCAGCATCATTCCTGGTGATGGCATCATCTCTATCCCATTGCATCAGCCCCAGTGATGGCATCATCCCCATCCCATAGCATCTATCCTGGTGATAGCATCGTCCCCACCCCATGATGTGTGCGGCTGTGGTGAGCCCAGGCAGAGTAACAGGAACATGGATTTGCTCAGAGCTGAGCTTCTCATTTGGCTTGAAAACGTTGTGAATTGGCTTTTATTGGTGTGCCAAAGCGGAGGTCTCTCCTCTTGCTTTCTGCACTTCCCAATGGACCAAAGGGCTCGTGTCCCCGTGTCCTTGGGACTCAAGGGCTGAGATGAGGTAGGGACAAAGCTCACCCCAAGGCTGGCATAAACCACACGCGTGTCTGAGATGTGCAGGGAGGGCAGCGTGCGCTCCATGCCCAGTGCTGCCAGGCGGGAGCAGGACACGGAGGACCCCGCTGAAAGGGGTCTGCAGCAGACGAGCGAGGGATGCTCCCGGTTCAGACAGCTCAGACCCTCTCACTGTCAGTGGGGCCCTGCTGCCGCTGAAATGAGAATGAAGGAAGAGAGGGCTCCGTGCACGCGGGGCTGCGCTCCTCCGGCAGCGCCCGAGGCTCCGGCTCGGGTCTCCCGTGGGCGCTGGTGCTCAGGGACAGGTTTTAGGGTGCTGGGTGCTGGACCTGGGCTGTCGGTGTGGTTGTGGCGCCATGGAAAGCTGAAGCCAAGGCTGGACGAGGCAGTGACAGCTCATCCTGTGCTGAGCATTGGTCTGTGGTGGTTCCATGTGGCCGGTGCCTGGGATGGGATGGAACAAGCACAGTATCACAGACCCTCATCCACATGTGCCCCCATCCCCACATCCCCATCCTGAGGGCATTCCTGGGGCTCTTCCAATGAACCCTGTGCTGGTTGCCTCCTCCTGTGCTGGGCTTTGCCTGCTGTGCTGGGGCAGAAGTGCCAGTGCTGCCAGCACGGCCCCACATCCATCCCCCCAAAGCTGCCCCACGTCCATGCATCAAAACCTTCCCCACATCCATGTATCAATACCTACCCCACCTTCATCCATCAAAACCTGCCCCACATCCATCCCTCCAAACCTGCCCCACATCCATCCATCAAAGCCTGCCCCACATCCATCCCTCCAAACCTTACCCACATCCATCCCTCCAAACCTGCCCCACATCCATCCTTCCAAACCTTACCCACATCCATCCCTCCAAACCTGCCCCACATCCATCCCTCCAAACCTGCCCCACATCCATCCTTCCAAACCTGCCCCACATCCATCCCTCCAAACCTTACCCACATCCATCCCTCCAAACCTGCCCCACATCCATCCCTCCAAACCTGCCCCACATCCATCCCTCCAAACCTTACCCACATCCATCCATCAAAGCCTGCCCCACGTCCATCGCCCAAAACCTGCCCCACATCCATCCATCAAAGCCTGCCCCACATCCATCCCTCCAAACCTTACCCACATCCATCCCTCCAAACCTGCCCCACATCCATCCCTCCAAACCTTACCCACATCCATCCATCAAAGCCTGCCCCACGTCCATCGCCCAAAACCAGCCCCACATCCATCCATCAAAACCTGCCCCACATCCATCCCTCCAAACCTTACCCACATCCATCCCTCCAAACCTTACCCACATCCATCCATCAAAGCCTGCCCCACGTCCATCCCCCAAAAAACCTGTCCTTCGCTTAAAACCCGACTTTATGCCTGGTGCCATTGATCACAGCTCATCAGCTCTAATGCAGCATTTGCCAGTCCAGCGAAGGCCCTTAGGGTCAGCTGATGTTTTTATTCCCCTCCAAAAAGAATAATTATTATTATTCCCCTGCTAAGCACGTGCCCTCCTGTTTCAGTCGCCTTTGCTCGGGCTTTTATAATGATCATTAAAATAAGTAATTTTCTTTTAAAACAAAAGGCAGAAAAAGGTGTTTTGTTTGGGGTTTTTTTTTTGGCATTGTTTTGTGCGCGTTTGAAAATTGTTTCCCAGTAAATCCTGGCCCTTTGTATTAATTTTACATTGAAAACGTTACCTTGCCAGGGGCAGGGTTGGCACAACTGACTCGGGGAAGGAGAGAGAAGGAGAGAGAGAAAAACCCTGCTCCTTAATTAGCGCGTTTCCCTCTGTGCTCGGAGTGCCTATGAAGCAGGTAATGAGCTGGATGGGGCTGGACGCTGCCGCTCCCCACCCGTGCTGTCTGCGGTCCCCCCTTTCCCTTTATGGGTCACCCTTCGCCATGCTCAGTGTGATGAGTTTGAGCCAGGCTCAGCCCTGCTCCCACCTGCCTGAGACCCCACTGGGCACAGGGAGCCCCCAGGATGCCGGTTTGGGGTGGCCACAGGAGCCGTGGCCACCGTCCCTACCCCACGCAAGCCACACTGACCCCTGCAGCCGCTGAGCATCCCTTCATGCAGCGCTGCTCCTCCAGCCCCGGAGCCGCGCGGTGCCCCCCATCCCTGAGGGGGACCTCAAATTAATTAGCAAAGAAAACGAGCTCGATGAGCAGAGATTAAAGCCAAGCTGCCAGGTTGGCTCCTGGGGGAGCCAGGCAATTTGGCCACCGGTTCCATCGGCTGCAGTGCCAGGAGCTCCAGGGGGCTGCAATGCCCCCGCTCAGGGCGCAGTGTAGGGATGGGGGTGTCGCAGGTGTCACCCCGAGGAACTGGGAGCTGCCAGTGTGTGTGCCAGAGCTCTCCAGCGCTGCTAATCCCTTGATGTCTCAGGTAATCAGTGCCAGAAGCACAAATGACACCGGGGTTGCAGCGCGGTGCCAGCGCTGCCACAGCATCGCCGTGAATAGTGGTCCTTTTGTGACTTAAAAGGTGCCGGTTTATCACGGGGCTCGGGGTTAATCTTGTAGGTTAATGGTGAGGAGAGCGGTGCCGAGCTGGGCCGGATCAGGCCCTGGGTTGTGGTGGACCCAAGGTTTTTGGCATACCCCATCCCCATGGTGGGATCCGGTGAAGCGTGGTCCCCCTGACGCCGGTTTCTCCTTCAGGTTTCAGCACGGGGATTACACAGTGGAAGTGAGCATCAACGACTACCTGGACATCTACTGCCCGCACTACGAGGAGCCGCTGCCCGAGCGGATGGAGCGCTACATCCTCTACATGGTCAACTACGAGGGGCACGCATCCTGCGACCACCGTCAGAGGGGCTTCAAGCGCTGGGAGTGCAACCGGCCCGACTCCCCCAACGGGCCCCTCAAGTTTTCAGAGAAGTTCCAGCTCTTCACCCCCTTCTCACTGGGCTTCGAGTTCAGACCCGGCCACGAGTACTACTACATCTGTGAGTAGGGGTGGTGGGGAGGGATGGATGGGGTTGGGCGGTGAGAACACCCCAGGGATGTCTCCCGCATCACCCCACAGTGCAGACCTGACCTGGGTGCTGAGCCACAGCCTGGTTTGCATTGGATGCCCCCAAACCCATCCTTGTGGTGACAGCACCAGCGTGTCCGAGTCAAGGTGGAGATCCCAAACGGTGCCAAAAGCCTCCTCCAGGGCTGAGCCACAGCCATGGGGTGGCCACAGGAGTGAATAGGACTTTCCAGGGACCACGGGATGATGGGGACACTGATTTCATCGTCTCCAACGGGACCAACACCGGGCACTGGTCATGGTGATGCACCGAAGCGGTGGCTCAGCCCTGCCAGCCCCAGGCAGTGTCCCCTTGCGCTCCCGTGTATTCCCATGCACTCCCAGACTGCGCTCCCCTTTCTCACCCAACAGATGAAGCCCAAACTGGCCTTCAAGGGGGGAAACCTTCCCATAGGCACCAGGCAGCGGTGGCAGGATCAAGCCGATGATGCCCCTCATTGAATTTCTGCCTCTGCAGAGCTGGGCATGGGGGGCTGCAGAGCAGCAGATCCATGGCAAAATCAGCCACTGGGGCTCGGATCCATCACTGGGAGTCTGGCAATCAATAAAGGGTGAAAAACCCATAAAGGAGAAGCCCTGACCCCCAGCACTCAGCGGTGTCACGGGCAGACAGGGGCGCCTCTTCCCGCGCCGGAGCCAGCCGTGTGCTTATCTGCCTTATTATTTCTCCCCCCTTTTTCCTAAAGCATCTGTTTGCAGCCCACTTAATTTGTTCCTTTTATCTATATTAAATTACCATTTTTGTCCCCCTCTCCCTTCCCCCCTGTAAAATGTCACTTGTGAAATAACAGCAGCTACAACTCTCTCTTCTTCCCCCCCCCCCCCAGTTTTATTTTATTTTATTTTACTTTATTTTTTTTATTTTTAATGTCGTTAGGGAGAGATTACACAGAAGTAAATGGTGAAGCCGATCATTGCTAAACCGGTTAGAATTCATGTCATGCGGAACATTAGAAATTATGCCTCTTTGAGGAACCGTATTTAGCAGACATGAAAGAAAAGAAATTACCTCCTCCTCGAGCTCGCAAATTGGAATGCCATTAACCTCGCGGGCACGGGGACGCGCTCGCTCTCCCGGTGCCGGGTCAAGGGCATGGGCTGGCCCTGGGGACAGAGCCGGCGGATGGATGGCCGCGGCGCGGCACGGCATGGGCCAGCATGGCACGGCAGGCATGGCCTTCTCCTTCCCATGTGGGGTGGTAGCGCCATGGAGGGAAAAAAAAGGGACAACTCCCAACCGTGGAGGCTCTGCAGCATCCCCCGTCGGATGCCAGCGCTCCCATGGGTGTGATGCTGAGCTGGGCGCAGGGGCTGGATGCGCCCGTCGAGGGGGCCAGGGGTACCATTGAGAGGGGGCTGCCCCTCTGCAGCTGCCCCATGGGTTTGTGTGGATAAAATAACCCAAATGGGTCCTGTGGGGCAGCGGGGGGGGGTGCCCCCCGTGTCACCATCTGTACAGGAACCTGCTGTCTCTGTCCCTCGGAGCCAAGGGGAGGGATGGTGGTGGTCCCCCGAGGGAACTGCGTGTGCCCCTTGCTGCTGCCTCTCCTGCGAGCAGCATCCCGATTCCCCTTCCTTCCTTAAGCTGAAATGAAACTTCATTGTGAATAATGCTCTCTGCCCTTCTTTAATGCAAAAAAAAAAAACCACTCTGAGACAATATGAAATTCTTTTAAAAACATATATATAAATCACATTTTCTCCTATTGAGAGGGGACTTTCACCAAGATAATTATTGCAATTACTCCCTTTCTCTCTCCCAGTGAGTATTATTCTTATTCTTGTGCCTTTATCCTCGTTTTACCTGCGGAGGGAAGCAGCACAGCCCTGCCTGCGCTCGCAGCCCTTCACCACAGGGACAGAGCCCCACGAGCCATCCCTCCCTGCCCAGCTGCACTGGGACCACTGGGGACCCTTTGTGGGGCCACAGCCCCCCCCTAACCTGCTGCTTCTCCCCTTTGTTTCCCTGCAGCCTCATCCCCCCCAAACACAGTGGACAGGTCCTGCCTGAAGCTGAAGGTTTATGTGCGGCCAACAAGTGAGTGAATGGGGGGGCCCTGGGTAGCCCAAGGGGCGAGGGGGTGATGGTCCTGGGTGAGTGGGGACCACTGGGGGGGGAACGGGATGCTGCAGGTCCCACCTTGGTAGCACTCAATGGGGATGCGGACAATGCCCGCATCCATGCCAGGGTGTCTGTGCCATGGCAGGCGCTGTGCCTGGTGATGGCCATTTGCTGCCGAGCTCCGTATGGGGGGGGGAATGAATAATAATCTCTGCACAGTGGCTACTTTTCAGAATCAAATAACTCAGCCATTTAAAAAAACAAATTAATAATTTTCTTCTCCTGTTAACGTGTAATTAGCAAATGGCAGCAGCTCTCCCTGGGGACGAGTGCCTGCGAAATGTCACCGTTTAAAAGGATGTCTTTCTTTTTTTTTGTGTATTTGCATGGCTTTAAAATAAAACCCAGTATAATGAAACCATCTGTAAAAAATCATTCTGTGTTGTTCAGGACTAGGGCATAGCGGGAGGTGGGGAAAGCTCTCCTCGTAGTGCTTGTTAGTGTGTTCATAGTGTTGGGGGTTTATTCCCTCACGGAGAGGGTGCCTTTGTGCTGGCCTGGGCACAAAGGACCCTTGACTGGGTCCTTGAAACAATCTCAGTTTCCAGTGCATGTGGCAGCGATGCCTTTGAGGAGGCAGCAGCGCCCAGCTGCTTGCTATGGGATAAGCCGCTGCATCCGCAGCCCCCGGGATGCTGAGGTGGGCTCTGTCTCCGGCTCACGTCTCCCTCCTTTCCTCTCCCGCAGACGATTCCCTGTACGAGTCCCCGGAGCCCATTTTCACCAGCAACAACTCCTGCTGCAGCCTCAGGGTGCCGCGCGCCATGCTCGTGGTGGTGCCGGTCATCTGGACGCTCCTGGCCTCGTAGCGCTGACACCGACGCGCCGGGGAGCGGCTCCGGGGAGCATCACCTCCGGCCACCCCCCTCCTTCCATCACCTCCGGTGCCCCGGGAGGGTTGGTGCTGCTGATCCTGCCACCGCGGGAAGTCCCCGTCACCGCACGGCCACCGCGCCAGGGGATGGCCCCGGGAGCAAAGAGCATCCCGGCTGCGCACACCGACAGCTCCCGTCCCCGCGCTTGCGGCTCGCTCGGCGCCGGCTCTGCCTCTTGGATGTCGCTTTTTGCATTTCTAGACCAAATACAGAGGCCTCGTTGTTTGGTTTGGGGGGGGGGGGTTTGGTTTTGTAAAGAAAAAAGGGGTTTATTTTTGTTTGCTGGGTTGTTCCAGCCCGCGCTCCCCCGTGCCAGACTGACCCGCACGGGGCCGGGCTCAGCCCCGCACTGAGCCCTGCTTTCACACCGGACACCAAGCAGCACAGTGATGGTGCCGACGGCTCCATTGTCACAGACTCCTTCCCGGCCCAGCCACCGCTCTGGCACCGGGATGTGGTGGTGCCGGCCCCAAGGCGCTTCTCCAGGCACCCACCTGCCATGGGGACACGGTGATGAGGGGCCTGGGCGGACACGAGCCCCCACCAAGGGCCTGGTGGGGTGACCCTGTCTCCATCACTCGTGCCATGCGTGTCACTGCTGTCCCCATGGGACCCCGGAGCAGCTCCATGAGCAGCAAAGCAAACCGGACACACCGGAGGGGAGCACCAGGGATGACTGGTACCGGGAGTACCAGGGATGACTGGTACTGAGAGCACCAGGAATGGCTGGCACCAGGAGCACCAGGAATGGCTGTCACCGGGATCACCAGGGATGACTGGTACCGGGAGCACCAGGAATGACCGGCACTGGGAGCACCAGGAATGGCCGGCACCGGGAGCACCAGGGATGGCCAGCACCGGGAGCACCAGGAATGGCCGGCACCGGGAGCACCAGGGATGGCCACTGGCACCAGGAGCACCGCCGGGCGCTGGGAGCCGGCTGGCTGGGCTCGCCCGGATGCTGGGATCACTCCAAGGGTGTTTGGCTGGAGCCGGGCCGATCTCATGGAGCAGGTTTTCCTTCTCTGCATTCTCTTGCTCTGCACCGCATCCCCCCAACACCTTTGGGGTGTAAGAATGCCCATGGCGAGGAGGGGGGGAGGTTCACTGGCCACATGCGGGACCATCGCGGCGCTCCCCATGGTCGCCCCCTCATCCATGTCCCTGGGGCTCTGGGGCTGCACTTGGGAAGTTTTTCCTTCTCCTTCTTTGCATTAATAAGAACCCACTGAAACCCCGATCCGAGGTTGACCCCGGGGGTGGGAGATCCCCAAGGAGGGGTCCCCCTCGGGCCTGACCCCTCCTCGCCTTAAATCTGGAGCTGCCCCACCGGGGGGGGGGGTGTCCTATGAGACCCCCCCCATGCCCTATGGGGTTGATGGTCCCGGGGGATGGTGGCGATGGGCTCGGACCCGGCCAAAGCCCCCTCCGGAGGGCACCTTTGTGAACGCACCCCAGACCCTTCCGGCGCGGGGGGCTCGGTCCCTGTACATACAGCGCTGTACTGTGAGCGGTTTTTTTTATGTATTGTTGAGAATGGATTTTATGGAAGGGTTTATCTTATTTTATTTTTTATTTTTTAGACTAGGAAGCTGGAATCTCGCAATAAGCTCATCTCGACTGTCCAAAACATACAAAAAAAATTAAAAAAAAAAAAAAAAAGAAAAAAAATAATAACCCCCAAACCCAACAATAAACCCCGGCATTCCCCCATTCCCTGCCGTTCCCTGCCTCCCGTCCCGGTCCCCGTGTGTGTGTGTGTGTGTGTGTCCAGACCAAGTTGTGGTTCTTGAAGGCGAGCAAAAGCATCGTGTATATCCAAGGGGTGAAGGGAGGGCTCCGTCTAGGGGCCGGCAGCAACCCCCCCCCCCCAGCTCGCAACGGGGAGCAGCAAACCCTGGCCTTTGGTCTGTGTTTTATATATATATAGATTATATATATAAATATCTATATTGTGTACAGCGACTGCGGGAGAGCGGCCGAGCGGGTGCTGCGGGCTGGGGGGGGGGGGAATGGCTTTTCGCTGTGGGCCGGGGCTGCCCCTAGGGAGCAGCCCGTCGCTGGCGCTGGTTCTGCGTGTTGGTCTCCGTTCTGCCTAGCTTCGTCCTTAGACAACGCCGCTTTCGTCCTCGACGTCGTGCTGGTGCTATCCGGATCCCCCCCTCCCCGTTTGGAGTCTGTATTTTTTTATAATAAAACACAAATAAATGTCGTGCGAGGCCCTTGCTTTGGAGGAATGAATTTGCCGTGTCCCAAAGGCGGGGGGGGGGGGGGGGGGAGCATCCAGTGCCAGCCACCCCCCCAAGGGAAACCACGCTTGACTCTGTCCCTACATCCCCATCGCAGCCTCTCCCGCGGCGCGCCAGGGCTGTGAAGCCAGACCGCTCTGCTGGGTGGTGTGTTAATTACGGGAAGGATTTAATTACCGCGTTAATTAATAATAATGGATATTAAATTAATTAATATGCAGTTGTTGATAGTACTTAATTATTGGAGGTGCTGCGGCCCCGCGGGCGGGCGCTCGGGGCTGGCACGGTCCCGGCATCTCCCCGGGCACCGCCGCTGCCAAAGCTGCACCGGGATGCGTTGTGGCAGCCTGAGAGGAAACCAAAGCTGGGACGTGCTGCTCATACCGGGCATCACCGGATCCTTCGCTACCCCTATCCCGACCCAGTGGGAGGCGATGGCAGCCCCCAGCCCGCTCCTTTCTTCCTCAAGTACCGAACTCTCCTGTGCAGCCCATTCCTAGTGCTTAATGTGTATTTCAGCACAATGATAGGAGCAATCCGCTGTTCATTAACCCAGGCTCCTACAGCTGATCCGAGGAGCTGAAGTTTGCCACAAGAGGGTGAAAGACTTAATTTTGCGTCTTAATAATGGCCATCTGTGTGCCAGCAGCGAGGTGGGTGCTGCACCGAGCTCCGCAGCGCTGCCGGTTCCTGCTGTGACGGGCAGGGAAGTGCTGGGAAAGAGCCCGGCAGGGATTTGGCAGGGAATAACAAGGTGATTTTTTAGCCCCGCTCAGGGAGGTTTTGAGGCCTGACTCATGATTTTTTTTAACACAGGGGGTTGGAAACACGGAGTTAAAAATAGCAAACCGGCAGGCGCAGGGCTGAGAGGGATCATCGTTAGTAAGTAATTAATTGAGTCATGGAGTTTTAAGGCCTGAGAAGGATCATTTAGACCAGGGGCACCGAGGCTTGATTTAAGGACTCGTGGTGATGGAGAGCTGGTCCAGCCCGGATGCTCCTGCTGAGGTGCCCAGGTATCACCCATGTCAGTGGTTACCCTGCTTAACCAGGGCACGGCCGGCTCGCCACTGCCCCCGGCAAGGGAGTCCCTGCGGCTCTGGGGTCTCTCCTGCAAAGGGGAAGAGGGGATGTGGGGACTGGCTGCAGGGCCCATGTGCATTAAAGCAGTTGTTATTTGGGTCTGAAACAGCCATTGCAGAGTATGAGCCCTGGGTCGAGAGATGCTCGAGGTACCGGTGCCATGCCCAGGGCCAGGGTCATTCCCTTTCCAAGCATCGCTGATTCTTGCCACCCTTTTTCCGCATCCTAAACCCTGTCGGCAGCATCCGCGTTACCGTGCGGGGGAACCGCAGCTCCCTGCCTGGCCAGAGGGGGGAATGACCGCCGCAGCAGGTGGGATGTTGGGAAATGGGAGTGAGTTTTCCACCTCTTTCCTTGTTTAAAGCAGCTGGCGCTGCTGGAAAACCAAGAATTCCTCTGCTTGCTGACCCAGAGAAACACGTCTTAAATCTCTTTAAACGTGGCAGCATGTGCGAAGGAAGGGGAAGGAAAGAGCCCCAATCTCCGCAGGGATTCCCAGCCCCATGACCCCTTGAATATCCTTAGTTCCAGCTGCAATTGGGGGTGAGGGGGCAGAATAGGGCATAGGGATGAGTGGGGTCTGAGCACCCCCAGGGCAGCCGGGGCTGAGGGATGGGATGGGGCATCCCTAGGACCCCCTCATCCTGGGGTGCCGCAACTGCAGGGCAGTGCCTGGAGCGTGGCCAGCATCAAGGGAAGCAGGGATGGTGCCACGTGTGGCTGGTGGTGTCTGAAACAGGGCTTTATGAGCCTCAGGCTCCTCTAGCACCAGTTTTACGTTGTTAGTGCCAGGGCTTCCCGGCTGTGTGGGCACTCACAGCCCCCTGTGCCAGCAGTCGGGGTTCAGGGCTGACAGGGATACGGTTTCACCTCTGCACGCCGCACTTTTACTCCAGGATGTGGCTGTGCAATTAACCAGGACCTCAGGGCTCGGTGCAGGAGGGCTGGGGCCATGCCCTCCTTCAAGATGTTCAGGCGTGGGGTGGGATGAGGGTGGCCTGTGGGGCTCAGCTTTCCCAAGTGCCGTAACTCCTCTAGTGAGCAGGGACGGGCAGCTCCCCCCACACAGCCCTGCTCCAGCACACCCTTTCCCTTCCACACTCTCCACCTCCTTTTCCTTCCAGCCTGAGATGTGCTCAGCCCCATCTCCCTATGACCAACCACTGGACCCGTGTCTGGCCACGGTGGCAGGAGCTGCCCCTGCGATCCCATGGGAGAAGCACAGGGTGGCTGCTGGGGTGCCTCAGGCATGGCACAGTTGGGTCACCTCAGTTGCACCTCCACAGGTGCCTCTGGTTGCTGACCCCACAGCATCCTGCACTGTGCTCCCGATCCGCTCCAGTTCAATGGCATCAGGGGGAAGCTCAGGGGTCCTGAGCCCCCACGGCAGCAGCATCCCGGTCACGGTGTTCCCCTTCCCGAGAGCATCTGCTCTGTGTCTCCACTGGCACATTGCTCCGTGCTCTATTGCAACGTTTCGGCGTTAATAGTTTTCTGCTTTAATCCCATGAAGGCAGCGGGTGCATCGTGCTCCACTGGCCCGTGGAATATCCGCCTGGTGCAGCCGCTGCTGCAGACAGCGCAGGGGCCCGATCCGCAGCTTGCTCGGGAGGCTGCAGCCTCCCCAGTCCCGGTGACATGGTCCAGGCTTACACCT